TAGAAGGTTTAGAAGAGAAAATTCACCGACATGAAAACCACTGTCGGAAAGAATGCACGATAGAATGGCGAAGAAAGATAAGGAAATGCAAGGTAATTGAGAGAAATTTTCAGTCTCTTTGACTGTGACAGAAACGTCTACCTAAACCGGGGTCGTCTACAAGCGTAACATGCCAAAGCACGTATCCGCCACAGTTTAGATGATGTGTGGTGTCCGCTAACAAAACCTCATTAAACCTGGCGACGCAGTGCAACATAATCTTAGGAACAAAATAAATGTGACGATCGACGCCTTCGTTTAGCCCTGTCCTTACCTCTCCCTGATTCTCCAGCATATGCCTGACTTTCACCGCATCGCCACGTGAATCCGACTGAGACCTTCCTCGACGTATGGATTTAATATCTGCCGTAGTTATAGGTCTCTGGAAGATGTGTGTGGCGAAATCCCTTATCTCGCGAGTACTTCTAAAATTTTCCATCAAAGTACACACTTCCTCTTTTGGTTCTCCAGATAGACGACGAATACTTACATACAGACCCCAGTGACCCACATGGAAGTCGTGGTTGTGCACCAGACAATGTTTCATCACTCGGTACCCCTCCCGACCGCGCGAATTTCAACGAATGCCGGACAATCGATATTTCGCAGCCTAAAATGGGTTAAATACATTAGAAATGATAAGCATAATTACCTGGTTGCAGTTGCGCCGTGCCTTCTGTGATGTACACAGCAATATTTGATGAAATAGTAAGGAAAACCCTCAGGCAGAGTCAGATTCCGACCAAATTTTCTTTCCTGTATCAGTTGTTTAGCTGTCATTGACGCACAAACGTAGAAGGAAGTGCAAGTAACAATTTGGAATTCACGGAGGTCCTCCAAGAATCCNTCAAAACGACCGTTTCGTTGGTAAGAGCGTGAAAGTGATCGTCGGAATTAGGTTGCGGTATCTATACTTGCTGGACAAAGTCAATTAAGGTTAATTAAATCAAATTAAATTTTATCAAATCACTCAGAATCAGTCAAAAGCAAAATATGTTTCATTTCGGCATCGCCTTTTCCAACATACATTTAAAAATATGTCGTTTTTAGAAATTCTAATAGTTGGAATGCCACGCCACTACCCGCGCAGCATGGATTGGTGACAAGCAAGTCCTGTCTGACAAATTTACTGCTGTTCTTAGACGATGTGACCAGGAGACTCGAC